TAAACCCATCACAGCCCCGCTTTAAAATGACAGATGTTACATGACAATGTCGGCTCGAGTTAGCACACAAAAGGTCAGTTGAACTTGTTAACGTCTTAGCCCAATTCTGGCTCGTCCAAAGCCGTTGAGAGTCGCCGTGCGGCGAATGCAAAGCTGTTGCCAAGTTGCAAAGCAAAGAGTTTGCAAAGTTGCTGAAAAAGGTACTCCCGGCTTGAGCGAATGGCCTGGCCTGAAGTATTTCGGCGAAGTGTTTTTCACAGGCTTGCAGCTTTCCAAACACGGCCCTGGAATGACGCCGTTTTAGCTGGGTGATAGCTTCATCTTTTACAGTTTTGTGGCAGTAATTACCTTGTCTTATTTCAAATTGATGATGTCCACGAACGCTTGCCGTGAAACATTGAGCGATGAAAATTATTGATCAACTACGCAGTCTACCATCTCTATGGAAAGATATCAGCGTGGCAGCGACAACGCTTGACACTCAGATGACATGGCATCAAGTTTCTGGTTGCTAGCCTAACCACCTAAATCGAGTCGCTCTCCGGTGCTTGGTATCTAAACGTGGGAACAGTTTGTTTGAAGCTCTATTTGTAAAGTTCCAGTGGCTAATTGAGAGACGTACACTGCGTCTTGACTGGCGCAGTGCATGCAAATTTCCTGCATGACCGTGTTTGCTTCTTAAGCCCGTATCACCAGGGGTATTATGAGGAGGATCAATCAATATCACGGAATTCTGTATTCCGCTTCCGCTACGTGGCTCGATAGTTAAGCATCCCAAGAAACCTGAAGTCAAACAAAGTCGGCTCAATGACATTCAGCCATCTAAGTCTTTTAGTACTACCAGTAAGTGAACTATGCGACAACTCGACGAAGCGGTATGCATTACACAAGATGCGCGAATAGTTTGTAAAGTACGGAACTTCAGTCTTTAACACAAGTGTAGTTTCCTATTTAGTTGGAGGGCGGAAAGGGGGTTCTATGAGAAAAAGTGGGCCAAATCCAGGGAGGCGCTCGCATGGTGTCTTACTTTAGGGGAGGTAATGTAATTTTTCAATATTCAGCCCCTCCCCAGCCTTCTGGAGCCTAAGAACAAGCAGAATATTACAAGCAGGAGCTCGATATTTCGTCAAATTTAAAAAAAAATGTTTCTACTGATTGTTTCACAAGTAGAAGGAACCAGGAAAGGAGAACTGCGATGCCATGTCCAGTTGAGTGCAGCTGACTGGGCTAATCAAACGTTTTCAGCTCCTTGTTCGTACTGTATTTACTTGAGCCTTGCACCCTGCATGTTTTTAAGTGCACATTTGATATCTCTTGTTGACTCTGGTCTCAGGTTTTGTGCTATCGTCCGAGTGTTTTGGTATCGCTCAGCAATATTTCAAGCCTTACAGACTGCAGCAAGTTGCGTTATTTTGCTTCAAAATCGCATCGAAAAACGAAAGCAAACCGGTCGCATTTGTGCACCCAAAAATGCAAACCAAGTTATTAGTCTTCTAGATTCGGAATAGCCCTTGAAATGCGCTGACCCTCATTTCGATGCGCATATTTTATGAAACAGCTGCAAAAATCCAACGATCGATACCAACTGACCAAATCGCCAGCGGGAAGCGTCCGACAATGACCGCCAAAACGGCACCTGCCGTGTCGAACGTGCCTAACGCGGGTGCTGCACTGCAGCCTGCACCCACCTTGCTGTAGCGAGCCGGATGTTTCCGGGCAGATATTGTCATTCGCGCAACTCAATCTTCAATCTTTGTTCCCGAAGCCATGCACGTTCAACAACATATGAAGCCGCATAACATCTGACCCTGCGTCGATTACCGACACCTGGTTTCGACGATCGACGTGAAACAAAATTATAGCGATGCCCAACGACAGCATCATTTTCACCGAGGCAGAGCAGAGAAACGTATAAGACCAGGGCTGTAATTTCCTATTCTGGTAAGAGGGGAAGGTGTTCAACTTCATAACGGTGAGAAGAAAGTGCATCAAATCCGGGATGTAACCTGTTTTTTAGTGTATTTGGCGCCAGGTTTTCCCCGCTTGACTCCCAATTATATTTTGCAAAGCTGCAGTCTTATGATGGAGGCTTAACGACCGTAACACGTGAAGATTTGTCACTAGGATACCTCAGCGTCGGGTCTGGGACTCAGGGTCCATTTCCCAAGCAGGTACAGGGCCGGGGCCCGCGTTATGCGTTGGTCGAGTACTTAAGTCAATGAGGGGCCCCCGTGTCAGTAAGGGGACCACAGTGCCTGACAGTGGTCCTGTATTGACAATGAGCCCACGGTCGGCCTGAGGCAGTGTTCAATGGGCCGCAGAGGAGCCCCACGGGAGGGCCCCAAGGGCCCCTCGGGACTGACGGTGAAGCGCCCGGTTGGAAGGCACAAAGGGCTGTTTGTAGCTCACATTAAGGTCCTCAGCCCGCAGGGCCAGACCGTCAAATGCCAGCCAGAGGGCCTCTTGCACAGATTGGGGACGTCCTGGGGCAATGCAGGTCTCTATTTCGGCCATAGACTACCAACACCGGACAGTCGGCTGCGTTTTGGTCTGAGCGATGGGGGCCCATTTCCCAAGCAGAGACAAGGTCGGAACACGCGATTTGCATTGGTCGGGAGCGGGCTCCTTGAAGCAACGAGGGCCTCTTTGTCAGCCAGGGGCCCACAGCGCCTAGAAGAGAGCCCAGTGTTGGCGAGGGGCCTCGGGTCGGCAAGAGGAATATTTACGGGACACGGAATTCCAGGGGCCTCGGGGTCATCTGACAATGGAAGTGAATAAGAGAGTTTGCGATGAGGGCCCACAATGTGACCATAAAAGGCCATTTGTCAGACACGGTCTCTGTACGGTACGGAGTGCTCTCCAGTCCATGTCAGCCAGGGGCCCGCTATGCCGAACCGCGGTCTTCATGCCAATCATTGGAAGCCCGCCACGATAAGGGATCTTTTTGCATTAGTGAGGGACCCCTACGTCCATCTCGGGCCAAATGGCCGGGTCAGGGGCCTCCGGTGTCAGGTAGGCGATAGATGTATGAAATATCCTTATAAGGGTTTCCGTATCGACCAGGGTATCCCGCTCTTGGGTGGTCGGCCTGGCAGCCGGCAGGCACCGCACGCTATAATGACACGGAAACATCTGGCCGGGAATTATAATATTCCCCCTCGTGTTCTACGCAATGGGTCCCTTGCGCGGAAAAAGCAATGGGTTTGCTTAGTGATCAATAGGGCGAATCACACTGAGGTCAAAATGAAAAGCCAGCAAAAACGAGTCGTCCATCCTTGTTCAGGTCAACATGTGAAACAGATTGCATCAAACGTTTTTGAGCCGACGTGCCCACAATCTTAGGAGCACGAACAGCAATGGCCGGGGTTGCGTTTTCTATCAAGCCGAGTGGCGCTGGCCACTGCAGCTAACACCGGGCAGTGGGTGCCTGGCGCCCGAGAACAGCCGTCGTGAAATAATGCTTCCAAAGTCTTTTGACATCAATTCGTGCCGTTCAGAAGTTAGACTATGGTGTACATTTTGCTCTTGGAATTTGGGACTGTCCTCTGAAGAGATAAACAGCGACAGCAACACGAACATAGAGATTCTACCTTTACTTCTCTAGTTCTACCATCACATTCCAGCTCCGGTTCGCGGTGCTGTGAACGTTAATCCATTCCTATCGCAAGTCCAAAAATTGCACAGGTGACATATCCCCCGGAATACCTGCCAAACGTACCATTTAACAGTGTAATGAGTTGAAAGGTACTTCCTTCAGAAGTGTTGTCGATTTTGTCCACCCGTTGACCGCCACTTAGTGACAAGGGGTCTGGGTCGCGCGCCTCTGGAGACTGCAACGCCGGGCGTCGGGGTTTTGTTCTGAGACTTGCGAACACGCGTCACCAAAACTGTGACATGTTGCTCGTCCGCTGCTCAGTTCTTAACAAAGATGGGCACATTTGGACGGAAATAGGTCTATTTCAATGCAAATGTAGGACCCCGTTCCGATTGAGACCTATATTCACGATATTTCTGTACAACACAGAAAAAATTCGGCACAGTGCCTGAGTGTTATCGGCTAAGAAAGAGTCCACTAAAACATTGTAAAATAAATAGCACCAGGGCTTATTCTATGAAATCATTTGACACCCGTGCCTCCCAGTTTGTTGACATTAGAACACAAACAGCATTGTATCTTTCGGTGCATCCTGGCTTCCGTTTCAGTTAAGGAAGGTAAAAAAAAAGCAAACGAAGAAAATCGTGCCCCTTGCCGTCAAGTGAGCCATATCCAGTTACTTGGGCCCTGCCATCATCAGGGGCCCTTTGTCGACGCTGAGCTCCCCACCCCTCTCCTTATCCAGACTCTGGCCTCGCCTCTGTTTACGAAGTTCCAAAAATATATTGATATACCAAAAAGGTAGCGGTGATGAAGAATTAAGAAAGCTTTCTGTCGTCTTTGTTCATTTTTCTTCCGCTATATGTAATTTGCATACTCACTCTTTGTAGCCGCTGGCGAAGGGGATGAGGTCGGCTGACAGAGCCTGAGGCGGGTGTTGCAAATGCTGGTGCTGTGTCTGCTGGAGCTGCTGCTGCTGCTGCTGCTGCTGTTGCTGCTGCTGCTGCCGCTGCTGTTGCTGCTGCTGGTGGTGGTGTAGGCTCTGCTGGTGGTGCTGGTGCATGGTCATGTGCGTCTGGTAGGGGTCGCCCCGGCCGTCCGCCGCCACCAGAGCGCCGTACGGTCCGGCGTAGCCCGACACGCCGCCGGCCTGGAGCGGATCGCTGGCGACCGCGGCTGCGGCGGCGGCTGCGGCGGCGGCGGCGGCGGCCGCCCGGCTCGCCCGCAGTGCCGGCGGCGTCAGCGGCGGCGTGTCGGCCGCGCCCTCACCGTACCCCACCGCAGCGTACTGACCGTCGACCGCCCGGTACGCGGCCGGCCGGGCAGCGTACCCGGCCGCGGCGGGGGCCGGGGGCGCCGCGCCGTACCCAGCGTACCGCCCAGCACCAGGCGGCAGCGGGGCCGGCGGCCAGGCGCCCGGCGCCGGCGGCGTCTTGCAGACGGCCGTGTCGGCCAGGGACCAGATCTTGGGCTTTTGGTCGGCCTCCAGTGCCTTGGCCTTCCAGTCGAGGTCCGGTGAGAGGGTCTCGGCCTTGACCTCTGTCTTGGCCGGCGGCGAGATGCTCCCTGTCTCCGGTTGGACAGAGCAGTCTGGCGAAAGACGGCACAGACGATTTAGAAGTAGTGCGTTGAACGGATTATCTCTCCACATTTCTAACTGAGTAAGCCCGCAGTATTTTTAGGGATATTGCTGGCAATGTGGCTGGGTCTAGCAGGCTTTCAGAAATCCACGATTTACAAAATGCTAATTGCCGAAATCTTAAGAAACATTTTATGATTTTGCTTAAAGCACATGCTAAGTGGAACGAAGTTGCTAACACAAAAAGTATAGCACATCTTATATAACTTAGCAGCAGCTGATAAATAAATTTCGTATTGGTCGTGGCTTAAAATGAGATACCAACATTCTAACTTAGTCGAAGGCGGAAAGGCAAAGTGTAAAGCGTAGGTGCTGAAAAAGCATGCCTCAAAAGATGATGGTAACCACATCGTTAAATGCCCTGAAAATATTCGGCCAACTCATTTTGTTTCCAATGGTAAAACACCTTAAAGCAACACGCAATCCTCACAGATGCCTGTTTGCCAATCTCGTTTTATCTGTGTTTTGGTTCTGGCGGGTCTTTGTCGTGAGTGTTTCTCCGCCGCCATTTTGAAACTTTCGTCCTGTGCCTTTACGCAACACGCTTTTCCTAGTCCGTTTTCATGAGGCCATCGTCGCCCAGGTCGTGTTTGCTTGATGAATTCTGGCTTTACAGCCATTTCAGAAAAAGGCAATCAATCATCAAAGGACAATCATATAAGGGCAAAATCATGCAGACTTCATTTAAAGCTAACCATGAATCGCTCGTACTTGTGGCAGCTCGCACAAAAACCGGAGAAATACTTTTTTACAGATGTGGCTACCTCTCGGTGCGACAGCAGTCTGCCGTTTTTGATATATTTACGAATCTAGTGGTAAATACCGCAATCGAGACGACAAATTGCAGTTCCTGGATGGTGCGGGTTGTGACAGCGGGTGCGAGCCTATAGACTTATTACACAACATAATTGGTTGATTACTGGCCTAGTTAGGTTCTTCCTTGAAGCTTCTGGAGACATTTCAGAAGATAACGATGATTCATACTTGACGAGTAACTTAATGTCTGAGGAAGAGGTTCGTTTACCGCATACAATATATTTGCGGCGTGGAGGAACCAGGCACCCCTGTCTCAGCTGATTAGAGTATCTGTATCATTCAAGCTATTCAGGTGCGATAATAAACAAATGTTGGAAATGCATTTGCTAATGTATTGCACGCTCGTGTGTGCCAACGAAAACAAATTAACATTTAGAGCCCAAGTGAGCTTCTCCAGAATTAAAATTTTTTGCGGGAAAGGGTGGGTTTTCAAATTTGGGCATCGGTTTAAGGCGAGTTTTCCGACTCCCCAAAAGTGGCAGCTCTGATCGCTGCACATACCCTCGCCGGGCACATTCTGTCCACATAATGCGGGCATATCCGGACGGCTGAACAGAAGCGTTCAACCTACCTTTCTCACCGTCCATCTCATCCTTGTCGCCTTTGTCTTTGGAATCGGCGTTTTCGTCCGCTTCCTCGTCCGACTCCGTCTTGTTCTTCGGCTCCCAGGTCATCTTGTTCTCTTTCTTCAACCTCCGCCGGGCGTTGGCGAACCAGGTGGAGACCTGCGTCAGCGTCATCTTGGTGATGATGGCCAGCATGATCTTCTCGCCCTTGGTCGGGTACGGGTTCTTCTTGTGGTCGTTCAGCCACGCCTTCAGCGTGCCTGTAGATTCGCGCGTGGCGTTCTTCCTCCGCGCGGCGAGATCGTAGGGGGCGCCGTACCTGCGGCGGAAGCGCACCCACTCAGTCGCGTCTCCCAGCCGTTGACCAAAGCTCCGAGACACCAGGCTCAGGCGCCTACGGCGTCACGCGTAAGGCGGTGACCGCTCAGGGCAACGGGAAGCGGCGGTGACCGCTCAGGGCAACGGGAAGCGGATCACGTCGCACCCGACTGGAGCCCGATCACTGTCGTTCGACAGCGCCAGGGTCTGGTCGGTGGGCCGTCTCGCGGGGTCATGACAGGGCTGGGATTGCTTCGGAGACACGTTACCGTCACATTGGCCAGGGCTGGGATTGCTCCAGAGACACGTTACCGTCACATTGGCCAGGGCTGGGAGTGCTCCAGAGACACGTTACCGTCACATTGGCCAGGGCTGGGATTGCTCCAGAGACACGTTACCGTCACATTGGCCAGCCGAACCCAGCTACAGCGGGCTCTGAGTGTGCTGGCATCCCAGCCTGGCTAAGGTGTTCACCGAACGAACTGGGCGAGTGTCGGGGTCGGGCTCCCTGCCATTCCCCTCGTAACATCAATAAAACACATTTTCTTATGACACCGCCCGAGGCGGGGCAGCAAACGTCCTCCTCCACAGAGCACCGGTCTTCTGGCGGGACATAACATGGAAAGGGTCTAGGTAGGCACGACTTCTATTTGATCCGACAAATACTGTAACGTGGAACATGTGCAGGCCACTCATGACTGTGTCAGCGAAACATTGGTGGCTGTTCTTCGCGCCGCAATTGGTTCATGGTAGCCGTGATTTTATTTAATCCGTCGATCTTTGTTGAGGGGCACGGTCATTCTGGAAACTTTTTCAATGAGGCGTCAGGTACCAAAAGTTGGGAAAACGGAAACAGCTAAACGTGCCCTGTGGTATGTAATAGCCGGTGCTACACCCAGTCCAGCTGGCGCATCGAGGATGAGGAGAGGCACCTGCGAAATGTGAGCAGTTGGTGGTAAAGATCCCTACTTTCTTTGCCTGAGGATGAAATACGCGTACCAGGACCAGCTAATCGTGGGGTAAGGGAAGCAATTGTCCCCACCCTACTCCCCAGCAAATCTTTAGTACTTCCACAATGATAACCGCCGCAAAGAGGTCTCAAACCCGTCTCCATGGCGTCATCGAGCTTTGCACGCCCCTTTCCTTTCAGCATTTTGTTCGCGCCGGCCTCCTGACATTTCTTCAAGGACGAATCTGTTTTGTCACCGTAATCACGACCCGACGTCACAGAACAGACTGGAGACCTGCCCTGAACCAGCTCCATTTGGAACGAGCTCCCTCTGTTGTCACAGATAGTGCTAATTACCTGACGCGGACAGCCGGCCCGACCCGGCCGGTCACCGACAGCCCGTGCCCCTCCCCGCCCGCCTGACGCCCTGCGCCGCGCGACAGGTCATCCGTCACCGGTCACGTGTCTGGCCGGCCGCGCGTCCGACAATCCGTCACACAGGGCCATTATCGTCTGTCGCGCCCCGAGTGATGCTAATTAATTACGGCCACAATCGGCGGTGGATCGGCGGAGGAGGCGGCGGCAGCCGGCCGGGCCGGCGCGGCGACGAAAATGGCGGCCGCAATTAGGCGTCGGGAGCCGTGGCGCCCGCCAGAAGCGCACCTGATTGAGTGGTGGCCGTCATGCGATGCGACGTGCCGTCGGCAGCGGCGGCCATTGCGACGCAGCGTGCCACAGCTGAGCTGGGCTGAGTCCTGCGTGGAGCACGGTATGAGTCCCGCTCAGAGCTGGCTGAGTCCCGCCCGGAGCTGGCTGAGTCCCGTCCGGGGCCGGCTGAGTCCCGCCCGGGGCCGGCTGAGTCCCGCCCGGGGCCGGCTGAGTCCCGCTCGGGGCCGGCTGAGTCCCGCTCGGGGCCGGCTGAGTCCCGCCCGAAGCTGGCTGAGTTCCGTCCGGGGCTGGCTGAGTCCCGCCCGGAGCCCGCTGAGTCCCGCCCGGGGCCGGCTGAGTCCCGCCGAGAGCTGGCTGAGTCCCGTCTGGAGTCCGGGTGCGCCAACGCCTCGTCATCCAGTCGCTATACACCGTGGGGGGATAGACAACAGCTGAAACAAGTGTTCACTCTGCATAGCTAGCGCCTGTTCAAGAATGGAGTTAAATGGAAGGTTATCAGCAGTCTGCAGCGAGATCATTCTCGAATCGTTTTTCACGACTCCCGTAGGACTGATTTCCGGCAAAGCCAACCAAGCGCAGCGGCTGAACTCCTCGCGAATCGCTGCACTGATGCGATGCATCAATGACCTCCAACACAAGGAAGATGGGAGGCACTTCCCCAGAGTACGAAACACTTACCTTTCAGATGAATAGTCCTATTATTGACCGCCTCTAGGCCTTCATCTGCCTACACAAACCACTGAATAGTCTCACGCTTTGCTGGCGTCAGGATTCAGGTCAGTATTCAGATGGCGGTACGTGGAGGCGCTGCCGGCAGCCGGGTATGTCCCGAGAACATGCGAGGTCGGTGCATGTGACTCCGCTCCGGAGCAGCGAGTACTCCCCCCCCTGCCCCCCCCCCCCCCCCGACCTGACGGACCTGCCGTCCGGCCCGGCCCGGCCGGGCTCAGGCACAACGCCCGCCACGCTGCAGCGCATGATGGCGCCGCGCCGCTGCCAGCCACCCGGCAGGAGCCGCGATGCGGCGAGAGCGCGGGCTCGGCCTGGTGATGAAGTCTGTACTGCAGACTGCGTGGCGGCCTTAGCACGAGCTTCGGCCGCCCTGCAGGGTACGGCCGTGTGATGACGTCTGTAGCATAGACGGCGCGGCGCGGCGGGCTGGGTGGCGGCCAGACCGCCCAGCCAGGGTGTGCCGGCACCGAGAGGTCCGCTTACGCCGCAGAGCTGCCGGCCATCCGCACATGTGCTGCGGGCGCCTCTACCTGGGGCGGTGCTGGAGAGGCCCTACACTTCCGTCCTGCGTTACCCTATCCGCCATTGGCTTTGTGATCACGTAGAACACATTAGGTCCCAGTGGGGCAGCGACTTAGGAACGCCCCAGAAAGGTCCTGAATGACGCAGTGTCTCAGAAACTCCCCTGAAAGCACGCGCGGCGAACTCGTTTTGATGTGACTGCCCGTCCCCCGCCAGACACGTCTCCGGGTTCGAAGTGGCATGAAGTGGACCAAGCTTTGATGTCCTCCCGCGAACACACACACACACACACACACACACACACACACACACACACACACACACACACACACACACACACACACACACACACACACACACACACACACACACACACGCACACACACACACACACACACACACACACACACACACACACACACACACACACACACACACACACACACACACACACACACACACGCACCACCGGCGCCGACCGGGCTCCAGTCGCGTGACGCGGCGCAGTAAGCAGCCGGCAGTCGGGCTGTAAACAATGTGTACAGACGACTGCACGAGCAGGCGAAGCGGGGTCCGACGCTGGACGGCAGCAAAGTGGGTACAGCTCGGCCACACGAGCTTCCACGCCTTGTGGCTGCCGGTCCGCCAACACATTACCACGGTGGAATGAATTGTACGTCCTTGACAGTGTCTGAGGACGATGACATCTTAACTAAAAAGGTATTAGTCTAGATGCACGACTGTTTTTATTTGCTAGCTTTGCAGAGTACCTTTGGCGTAGCTTACGATTAGCTGCAGCTTCACCAATATTGGGGTTAGTCTGGCCAGGCAGGCCGGTGGTATAAAAACAGCCGTCAGCCAGCACTGGGCTCTGTTAGTATGGCGCAGTCTGGCTGATTTAGGTCAACTGGGCCACACGCTACACTGAGGCAGCGCTGCTCGATGGCAAAGGTGGTCGGATCAATTAAGGGCATTTGCGAGCAGCACGCCGCTGCTGGCGTTGCCGGACAGCAGCTGCTGCTACAGTACCTACTATCATCACGTCGCCAACAAGGCTGACACGTTTGGCGGGTGTGCGGATGCGCGTGCGTCTTCACACACGACGGAAATGACAACTGCGTGTCATCGACTCCCGGGCAGACGTCTGGCTGCGGCCGTCTCCGGCTGCAGCGCGACGGCGGCGCGCCGCTCTGACACGCCCCGGGTCGCGCGCGGCGTTTATCTCCGGAGCCCATCGGGGCTGCCGGTCCCATTAGAGCATCTCCCGTCCCATCTGGCTGTCAGCGCGCGCCGCTCGCGGATCGTCACCGGCCCGGTGGAGGCCCGGCCTCCCCGGGGGACCGGCAGCGCGCGCCGCTCGCAGACTGTCACCGGCCTGGTGGAGGCCCGGCCTCCCCGGGGGACCGGCAGCGCGCGCCGCTCGCAGATCGTCACCGGCCCGGTGGAGGCCCGGCCTCCCCGGGGGACCGGCAGCGCGCGCCGCTCGCAGATCGTCACCGGCCCAGAGGTAGCCCGGTCTCCCAGGGGACCGGCAGCGCGCGCCGCTCGCAGATCGTCAACGGCCCGGAGGTGGCCCGGCCTCCCCAGGGACCGACAGCGCACGAACGTGGAGGAGGCGCGCACAGAGGCAGCATTTTCATCGTGGCCAGTGGCTGCCGGTGATGGCCCCGAGGTGGGCTGCCTGTGACGGCTGATGTTCCCCTAATGCTTAACGTCTCAGTAGGCCCATAGCGACGCCCCGATCACAGGGAAGGTGTAGCGACAGAGCCGGCAGCAAGAGAACACGCAGGTCGACACAGTCGATGGGGTGGTAGCGGAGCGATGGCACTTCCCAGCCACAGTGGAGCGGGTGTCCGCGCAGTGGCATCGACTGATGACTTCAATATCATTTGCTGACCTATTGCCAATCACTCAGAGAGAAAGCGGCGTCATTTGTTCGGGCAGGCTGCCTCAACCTAAATTCCCACACAGCACGCTCAACACCGTCACCACGCTTAAATTGCATTGTAATGCAATTTGCAATGCAATTTAGGGTGAGCATAATGAATTGATTTAATCGGCACCGCCTTTCTTGCACTTGTCCAGATGAGGAAACGTGTGCTCTGGTAACAGAGAGCCAAGCGTTTGCT